AAAGAAAATAACATAAACATTTTATTAAACAAACCGATTACCCAAATTTGAATTTATTGTTAAATTTTTTTTAAAATGTTTCAAAATTAATTCTTACATCCATTACAACCATTTGGAGATCTTTCCAAATTCAACATCTGTCATTATATACAATCCAATTAAAAACTATTTCTATATTGATTCCTACATTAATATACAAAATGCAATAATGGCTTAGTTGAGGGTATTTTTGAAATCTAAAAAGTACAATAAATCATATTTTATGCTTAATTAGTTAACTTGCTGAGTTAGATCCTAGTCATGAGTTTTTACTTATACAAATTGGGTATTATTTATAGGAACAAAAAGTGAAGGGTTTTAGGTACGGAAAATTGAATTTGAAGGGTGTAAGCCAAATTTACTATAAAAAAAACTGCAAAGGGCAGGGTTTTAGATATTTTTAGTTTTCAGAGGAGGTTGGGGCAGTTTTTATTTTTTTTTATTTTCCATTTTTTAATTGGTATATGGTTGAACATTTACTCTGATTAGTTATTTGATTCAAAACAAAAGCATCTCCTTATTTCATTGAGTTATTAATTATGTTCAACCCTCATCAGAAAATAAGATTTATAGTTCATTATCATATAAATTTCTCAAGAATGAATTTCTTGGGAATTGAAGTTCTTGGGAAATTTCGTGGTTTTTTTTTTCATTCTCAAAAAAGGTTTCCACCTATTTAGTTCGCGGATTGAAATTCTTGAGAATGAACTTTCCATGTCTAATCCCATGAGATAGGAATGAAGGATGTTCGTTCCCATGTTCGGAAATGTTAGGAAATGGGAATCAAGAAATGTCATTTTATCACATTCCCATATTTGATTTGTGCAGTATTAGGAATGCAAAATTATTCAGTTTTCCAATAATACCCTTAACTTTTTTTAATTATAAATAAATAAATACAAAGAGTTTTTGGAAGGGTAAAACATGATATTTTAAAAATAGAACAAGGGTAAGTGAGTCATAAAAATTTACATTAAATGCTTTCCCAGGTTGGGGGAAAAAAATTCCCAAACTCAGCCAAGGGTATGAAATTCCCTCCTACATGGGAAGTCCATATTCATGAGTTCATAATTGCATTCCCGATAGTGCACTTACTAAACATGAGAATGCAATTTCAAACCCAAAAGAATGTAGTTTCAAACCATTCCCAACTCCTAAACCTTCAACCAAGTGGGCACAAATCCAATAGACTATTTGTAGTTTATTATCGTTAGTTTAGACTTTAGATTTGTTTCAAAATAGTGTTCTTTTTATTTGTTTTCTTTGTTTTTAGACTATAAATCCACATCTTCAAATTGTGCAGTTGATGACATGAGGGAGCAAATCATTGATATGGTTTGACAACATGGCCTCACTGTGGACATGTAATTTCTTAGGCTTGTGATATCGAAAAGTAGGGTAACATAACCTTTTTTATAAGGGAAATTCTATATGAACCCCATTAATTGCTCTATACACCCCATAATTTTTTACACCCCATTAAATTTTAATAAAATTTCAAATTACTCATTAAACCCCTTTTTTTTTTCCTAAATTGCCCTCATGAACCTCATTCCCTAACTCACTGTGTAAACCCCATCCCATATCAGACACCACCCACCAAAAACCTCATTCCCTTTCAACATACCCCATCTGAAATCAAACCCCACCCCATCTGATATCAAGCCTCACCCTATCGAAAATTCCCTCCTCTTGCAGGCACACCTCGTCGCATAACCCATCCCTTTGCAAAGACCCATCGCACAACCCAACAAACCTGTCATCGCACAACCCAGCAAACCCCATCGCACACCACGGAACCCCCATCGCACAACCCAGCAAACCCGAACCCATCTCTACTTACCACCGACCCATCTCTGCAAACCACCGAACCCCATCGCACCATCGCACAACCCATCTCCATCTCTGCAAACCCGAACCCATCTCTGTCAAGTTTTCACAAATCATTCGAAGAGCCAAGGTTTGATTTCAAATTTGATTTCTATATTTACGTTTCTAAGTGTTGATTAAGCCTACGTTTGATTTTACTTTTGAAAAGCCAAAGTTTGATTTTGATTTTGATTTTGATTTCAACGTTGTGTATGGTTCGAACCTAGTTTGCAGAAATTGGATTCTAGTTTCAGTGGATTACTACCGAAATGGTTACATTGATTCAGTGGTAGTTCACCGAATTTGAACCTGAGTTGTACGAAAATTTATTTTACTTTATTACCTTGTTTCGGTGGTTGTCCATCGAATCTGTTTTTATTTTTCAGGAGACTCCCACCGAATTTATTTCGGTTTTTCAGTGGTACTCTACCGAATATGTGTTCTTATTTCAGTGATAGTCCACCGAATTTATTTTCTTTTTTCAGTGATCATCTACCGAATACGTTACTGAGTGTGTACTTAATATTGTTTGTTTTTAGATATGAAGAGGACTCATAGAGGTACTACTGAGGCTTCATCATCCCGACCTAATAGACAGCATCCCACGGCCTCAACGATGAGACAGAGAGCGGCTCATCAAGATCACTTTGAGGATACTACAGAGATTGAAGATGTAGTTCCTACTCATGATAGTAATGTTGACGCAGAAGTTGAAGATGTAGCCGCTACTCAAGATAGTAATGTTGAGATACATGTCGAGCCTACTGAGCCATCTCGAGTAGGTCTCATTGATCCATCTTTACTTACGAGTTTTAAAACTCACATAGCAGCTGTAATTTGGAATAACTAGGTAAGTCGTTTTACTGTGACAATAGAAGGTAGAATATAAGTCTAGTTCATGGTAATTAACCTTAATTTTGTTTCTTTGTTTAAGTAGGAACGTGAGCCCCTTAGGTGCATGTCGAAAACATCTACCCTTCATGAGTGGAATTGGTGAGGTAATCCAAATAATGGTATATTCAAAGGGTACATTTAGAGGTTTGGATTAGAGCAACTTATTAGGTGTTCTTATCGGAATGCTGATAAGATTGTGGTATCTACATTTGTTAAGATTGTGGTATCCACATTTGTTGGTTTATTTTTAGGTAGAGCAATGGAGGCCTCAGCAATCTCAAATGCAGACGGCAAACGATGAGTAGAAGTGTCAACTTTTCGCGGTCTCCCTTTGGTCTTCAACTTCTATTTTGGTTCAGTAAGCGCAGTAGAACCAGGGTTCATTAGCTCCTCCAGTGTCATGTGGACTTGTCTCTTCTTTTCATCATCTTGTTGTTCATACCACATATTGAATCTTTGTAGTTGTGACCTTCCTGGTGAAGTTGTGCCATGATTACTATTTCCTATATTGATGAGATCTAATTTCCTCCAATGTGAATGCACGACATCAAGTGGTATTGGTACACCACGCTCTCTATACTTCGCAATTTCATGTGCACATGGTAATTGGTGGGTTCGACGAATAGCACAACCACATGACAAAGTATTCACCCCATCTATCTCTAACCTGATTGCAAAAAAAGTACAATGTTAACTCTGTAAACCATATATGTACATGCAATAAGTAAACTGAATTTACCTTTCTGACTTGCACACAATTACACTCAAAGCCTTTATAAAAACAAAACCTACTAACTCTCTTAACTCCAGATGCCTGAACCTATGTTGAATAAAACATCGACTCTTTTCAAAAGATGCCTTAATCTCTGTGTGCTCCAGCTCTAACAATGAGTGTATAGTTACCAATGATCTCTCAAAGTTAAGTTGGCTTGAACGGAGTTGTCGTTTCAACTTTGCATGTGCACTTTCCGCTCTGTTGATAATAATAATAAATTTTCCTGAAGCAAAATAAATTTTCAAATTAACATATCAAAAGTTGACTAAAATACTTACCTATTTGAGGTCGTCAATCCAAGATGCATACAAGTGTCTGTCAATGCGGCCACAAACCAAGCCTTAAATGGATTTAACCAATTTTCATGTATGTATTCAAGAGCTTTTTGAAATTCACTGAACTTAGACTCAATCTGTCGCAAACAACGCCAATATTCCTCCTCCGTTTATGAACCAACCAAAGTATTCCAATCCTCATTAAATTGCTTCCATTGTTTGAAGGTCCCAAATAACTTCTTGCAGTTTGCCAACACTCCTTTGTTAATATGTCATCTACGTAATAAATGTCGTGCTTTCAAAAATATAGACGTAATAGAATTCATAAGTGCTAACTCTCGATCGGTGACAATAACACCAGGAAGACAATTATCATCCAACAAACTCCTCAATGCAGTCAATGCCCATGTGTAATTGTCTTCCTTCTCAGCATTCATATACATATATGCAGCAGAGAATGTCATATTAGTATATGTCACCCCCACAATTTGCAATAGTGGGAAACGATACCTATTAGTCTTATAGGTGCAATCCATGATAAGTACATGTGGAAATGCACGCAAAATATCAATATTAATGGGGTGTGTCCAAAACAGGTCAGTTACAATATCACCAGATGTCCTATGCCA